TTAACTCTTACCTTGGATCCCTAGTAACCTAGAAACAACCTTAAAGTTAACAAATTGTGAGTCTTAAGTTCAGGCTTAGACTCTGTGAAGCTAAATTAAGGCTACAACTTAAGTGTTCAAAAATGCCAAACAATTTACCCATGTAGACAAAGCCCAAGGGAAGCAAATTTGCCTTACAAAGTATTTCTGTGAAATGTTTTCTTCTGTTTAAATAGAATTCAAGTCCATTTTGTTGCACTAAATAAAACAATCATATATTTGTATTTTATTTTAAACATAAAGGTAGATATTTCTAACCAGTTGCCACAGATGGATAATTCCTATAATCAAGACACTAATCCCTTGGACTACCTAGCCACCAAGTCCAAGTGACTAGACATCTGGGCTGAACTCCTCAAAGCCATAAACAGCCTTATCTCTCTACCTTTGCATCCTGGGCAAATGGTATAGTCTTTTGTCTGTGGTCTATGTGAGAAAGGGCTGGAAAGCAGCCCAAGGAGACTAATGTTTAGAAGGAATGGAACCATGATTGAGTGTTAAAGCCCATTTAGATTCTGCTTTGACTGGAGCAGGAGACTGGAGTTCTTACAGACAAGTTGTGTGTGACCTTGCCCACTCTGAACCATGTTTTTACTTATTTATCATATAAGGATTTTATACAGACGATCATCTCTAACTTCTTATTCAGTCTAGTTCTTTGACCATCCATAGCAAGTCTCTCAGTGGTCAATCCTATATGAGGTCAACAGTGTCAAAGAAATGAAACAGATAGCAAGTAATTTCTGGACACACCTGCAGGCTGGATCTGAGGGCTGAGACTCTTGGAGTAATAGAGTAAGTGGCCTAAGATGTGGCAGGTAGAATAGCTCCTGTATGGATCCCACACCTTATAAGCCCATGCTACTGGGTGGAAAAGTGATGGGCCACTAGATGGAGTAAGACTGGAGCAGAGGAAATTCATCTAGAAAAAGTGGGATATAGGGTTGGAGAAATGGTAAGGATTTGGAGGATTAGCCTGAGTTAAATAGACTCAGAAAAGAACCTTGTATTTAATAAACGCGTTTGTTCAGGGGAATGTTACATGCAGAACCCCATCTCAACCTTGCTTGCCCTGTGGCTTGCTGAGTTTTGCTCCAGTTGCACTAGAGAAGCCTTTTGCCCTTTTGAGGTTATAGCAGTCACCAACTCCACTTCTATTTTGAACTCTGGTATAATTAGTTGTTAATCTGTCTCTCCTTGACCATACTGTAAACGTCAAAGTGGTGACAACCTTTTATTAACCACAGTACACAGTACCCAGGTACCTTGTATATAGCATAAATATTCAATAAATATCTGTTGGATAAAATGAGATCAAGTCCTTGCCCCATAGTTCAGATTGTTTTGCTTTGTGTGTATGAGTTTGGTGAAAGTTTTCAAAAACAATGAGTTTTCGTTCACTCATTTGTAAACATTTTCCTCTCTCTCCCCCATCCCAGTTCACTTTGTAATGCATATTTCATTCCAGATTATCAATTGCCATACAATGTCTAGGCATGCTTTGCAAGATATTCTGTTGCTTATTTTTAAAAATCCCAATTGTCCAGAATTGGATTAATCATAATTCTTGGTTCATAACCCATTGCTAACCTTGGCCCATGTATTGCTTTCCCTTAGTTAATGTTTATATCATCTCTGTTTATTACTATACAGAATACCAATGAGATTATGTCTTTTATTTTTTTAAATAGCTAGATAAAGCCCTTATCCTACATCTGTTTGTGTGTTCCATCTCTGAGTCTGTCTCTAGAAGTAACCAATGCTCTTGTAAATGTGTGTCATTGTCATTGTTGTTCTGTACCATTGAGTTGGAACTGATCTATAGCTGACCCTCCAGCAGGTTTTCAGAGACAGTAGCTAATCGCATGGGAGGAGATTGCCCATCCTTCTCCCTCTCAGCCGCTGGTGGACTCGAACCATGCGCCTTCAGAATAGCAGCACAGCTTCTTATGACTAGGCCTCCAGAACTCCCTTGTTCCTGGAATTAAACACACACTTGAATATATATATCATTACCCAGTGGAATTTTTGTTCCTTGTTTGTTATTGTTATCAAACATATATGCATCTAAGCATGAAATAATTTATTTTTTTAACTTTATGAAATTAGTATATTGTATGCACCTTCTTGGGTTTGCTTCCTTCACGTCACATCATGCTTCCTGTATTCATCCATATTGTCATGTTAGACTATATTTCATCTGCTTTGACTGCCTTAAGTATACCATAATCTGTTTATCCTTTTTCCTGTAGATAGACATTTGCATTGCTTCCAGTTTTTTATAATTACAAACACTGCTGCCAAGAACATTCTAGCATTCACATCCTGTGTATATTTATGCTTCGATATCCCGAGGAGACTTTCTCAGGTTCAGCACTGTTGACATTTTGGACCAAGTAATTCTTTATTCTGAGGACTGTCCTCTATGTTTCAGAATATTTATCAGCACCCTTGTTCTCCACTCATTAGATACCTGTAGAAATCTCTCTCTCTCCAACTTGAGAGGACTATAAAAAATTTTCTAAACATTGTCAGATATCTTCCAGGGATCTCCCTTATGCCTAGGAGATACACACACACACACACACACACACACACACACACACACACTCAGGAGTAGAATGGCTGAATAATAACATGAATACTTAACTGACGATAGTACCAATTATTTTGCCCAAGTGGTTATACCAATTTACTTTCCTGTCCGCTAGTAATATTTAAGTGCCTATAGATCTGTGTCAGATTCAGTATTTGATATTATCAAACTTATTTTTTCCAATTACTTTAAAAACTTTATTTCACCATGGACTTTATAAATAATTCCTCAATGCAGAATTCTTCCATTGCCATCAAGTCAGAACTGGCTGATAGCTGGCCTGCTTGCAGATTTTCAGAGACTGTAAATCACATAGAAGAAAGTTGCCCATCTTTTTATCATGGAACAGTTTGTGGATTCAAACTGAATGCTTTTGGGTTGACAGCATATCTAGGGAAGTTAAATAGGCCTTAATAACACTTTATTGATCATATCCATAAATTCTTATCATTTTACTACTTCCGTAGTTCTTGTTATTGATTTTGAAAAAAATTATATGTGTAGTCTTGATAAGAGTTGATGTCTACTCTCTGTATTGAAACTGCCTTGTTGTCTTTTTATCCTTATTGCTTTCATGCCAGAACACACTTTACCTTTGTTTTAAGTATCTTTATTGTGCTTTTGAAACAGCTTAGCAACATTACATTTCCTTTTTGTTTATTTTATGAAGCCTAAGAAATGTGACTTCAGCTTGATGTCCAAACTTGAGAAAATTAAATAGGCATTAATGAAAAATGTGCCCTGCAAAACACACCATGGAAAGGGGTAGATTGAAATCTTGGACTATTTGTGGCAAACAGGAAAATGCCAGTGGGTTCACAGTGGCCCTACACCCTGGAGTAATTGCTGAGCAATTTAAAACAACCAAACTAAAACCAAGTCAGATCCTTAGAAATATTTGAAAGCCAAGGCCAGAGACCCAGAATTTTTTAGCACAAATATAAATGAAATTATATTTTAAGAGAAAATCCAACTTGAGGAAGAAGCAAAGTTGTGTGAATTAAATCTTCAATCACAAATACTACCAGAATAAAAATTCATTCTATTTAACTGATTCCATGATGCTGAGACTCTGCATAGACTCAAACATAGACAATCTTGTGCTGTATGAGAAGATATTTCCTACTCTGCTGTTTTGTGTTGCAGGACATGGCCAAGGCTCTGAGCACAGCTCCTCTGAGAGCTGTTCCTTCCAGCTGTTGGTTCTAAATAAGCCACTGAGCTGACTGCCCTTGATCCTGCCATGTTATTCATGAGCAAAGTTCTGATACATATAAACCATGTAGTCAATTATTATGGGATCTAAGGTTATTAAGCCCCAAAAGAAGACAACTCAAGATGTGGGTCAGGAAAACTCTCTTCAAATATCTCTAGAGACATAAAAAAAGAGTTTAGATAGGTGGATATTACTGAAAGGAAACTATTGCTGTGCGCTAATGTTTGAGAATGCTTTGCTTTGTATGGGCCATAGAATCCAACAGAATTCTGAGTGTTTATTTGGGGATATTGCGGAGAGAATCCTTTAGCCTGCTCTAAAGACAGTGATGATGACAGTGATTTTTAACAGTTAAAAATATACTGGATTTGCTTACTTTGGGTCAAACTTTTCCAATGCATTTTTACATATTTATCTTGTATCCAGCAACTTTTCTAAATTCATATATTAAGTATAAAGTGTTGGATTAACCTCAGTAACAGCCATCTTCCACTGGAAGCTGCTCAAGACTTAGGCTGTCCTTATTGTTAGGGTGCCAGGAGGAATCCCCTGGGGTGGCACAGATTGTCTCAAACTGGACCCTGGACCCACCCTTGTCCTGAAGATGATGATCAAGCCCCTGAGCCACATTTACTGAGAATGAAGGGGTGATGTAGACAAAGGCTGTGTCCACACAGTGGTTAGACAGTAGTAGCCTGACTTAACTGGTTTTTCACAGAGGGATGCAGTAAAAAATGAAGACTCTAGTTGCTGCAGGAGTTGACTGTCACCAACAACAGTCACCGCATGTTTCTGTACAGAGGAGGAAAGTAATACAGGAGGCCTGCTAAAGGCCAGAAATGTGTGGAAATGTGTCTGTGTGGGCACACACATGGGATATGCAAGGGCAGGGCTGTAACGTCTTACCACCTTGCCAAAGAAATTTGTCCTGTGCTGGGTTGTTACATCTCTTCTCCGTACTGTAAAGTTCTCTGCCTGAGTAAGAGCAGTCCTTTCTCTCCTAACAGATTCAGTGTGTTTTGTTCATTTCAGCCAGCTGTATTTCTTGTTCTTCATCATCCTGTTTGTCTGTAATGCTCAACTTGCTTTTCCATCTTGTCTCTGTGTGCATTTCTCTCTTCCTAACCTCATCTCAGGGTTGAGGAGGAGGAGGAGGTGGAGGAGGAGGAAGAAGAAGAACAGCCAGTTACGGAGCCCAGTTCAGAGGAGGAGAGAGAGGACCCTGCTCCCTGTCAGGGCGAGGACAGGTACCGAGGGCTGGACCCTCCAGCCTCACACTAAATCCCTGAGGCTTCTCCTAATCAATAGTTTGCTGCCACTTTGTAGGAAACTCCTCCTTTCTTCACTAGCTGTCACAACAAACTTACTTCCCTTGTGCATAGAGCCACAGAATGACTAGTTTTGTACAAATAATGACTTTGCTTTCACTAGTGAATCACACTTTTATATATATACTGCCTGCCTAGACCATGCTTTCTGGAAAAAATGCCCAACTGGCTTTACCCCTCACTGTCCCCCTCCTCACGAAGTGCTTTTATTTCATATTCACAGTGACTAAAAAGATATTCATCTCTGCTCCAATGTACTAACCCTTTCAGCACTATAATTTCAAAATTTCATGTGTCTCTTTCTTCCTACCAGTTTTGCCAATCCAGTATCAACTAAATGTGTAGATGATTACTGGAATCATGATTCAAATTAATTTTAAAAAAAAATCCAAACACACTGGAATATTTTTCACTCGAGGCAGAGTAGGAAAAAGTTGCAGTGTTGATTTTTATGCCCCAAACAACTAACCTAGCTCTCATGTCCCTTGAGAAGTTTGCTCTCCCCTGCTCACCTCACCAAGAAGCATTCTTTTTTTTAAATTAAATTTTATTAATTTTAATGAACATTTACAGAGATTTTGGATTTCCATTTATTTATTGTTGCACTATTTTCTCTACCCACCCCCCAAGAAGCATTCTTTATAGCTTAGACAATGGTAACAAGCACTTTGTAGCTTTTTATTCTTCCTCAAGTGACATCTAGATAAAGTATTAAAATCAATCATGAATAATTTTAATATTTAATGGATAATAATAATATTAAGATTGAATGATTGGTTTTTAATTTTACTGACTGCCACTGCTCCATGGCATAAGGATGGGAAATCTCCTTTTCTTCTTTTTAAAACCCGCTGGAGGGTCAGCTATGGGTCAGTGCCAACTCTACGGTACCCAACACTGCACCACCACAATAAGTGGACATTTTTACAATTAGTTTATCCTTCCAAACAAGCAACTCAAAAGGATCTTGGGGGAATTAAGAGTAAGATCTTTTTCTCTTCCCACCCAAATTTGGTATTATTCTCATTATATATATGTCTTTATAATATATAAGATATAAGATATAATTATAATATTATTATAATATTATAATTAATACATATGTATGTATAATATATATAGTCTTTCGTCCATCAGTGTCCATAGCAATTCTCCAGTGGATTTACAGTGCCCTAGTCTCACACATCCCTAGCAATGGGAGAATTGTATCTGAATAGATAAACTCATGAACACTCACTACCTTTGGAAATGTCTCTTGAAAAGCCAGCAGGGTTGATCTGGTGAGAGAAAAAGGAATGAAGTGGTAACAGAGAACTGGACATTTATCAGAACCAGAGAAACAGAAAGAGCAATGTCATGAGCTCCTTGTCTATGTTGATCTGCCCCTCATGTGGGCACTAATGTGATTCATTAGTTAAAGGTGCTTGGGAAGGGGAGGGCAGAGATTCTGGTTAACAGTTCCAGGTTGGGTCTGGGAAATTATGTACCTCCTCACTAAATACACCAGTACCACCGTGTTTGTACTGAGAAGTACATTGCCTACTCCACCCACATGAATCCTTAAGCCTCAGACACCCACAGGATTCACTCCTGAAGACCAGGTAAAATAGCTTATCTGGAAAGGGAAAGCTGCAAAGGCATACCTGTTTAGATTGTGCTGTCATCACGTAGGATAGTTCTGTACACAGGTGGGTGGTTGTTTATCCTCTTTGTAGAAGTATCTTTTCTGGAGTTTTCTGACTATACCATTGCTCCAGTGTGCCACTGGTCCAAGATTTTAGTTAGATAATTTTGTTTTTATTTCATTAAGGCATGCATATTAAACACAGAGCTTAACCTTGACAATATACAGACGTTCTTTAACCATAATTAGCAGATGGTCTTTGTTCTCTGGAGTAAACCTTAAAATGACAGGGAAGCTCCACCCCTTAATTCTGCATGTGCTTTGTGTGTATATTTATGTGCTGGCCCGTGTCCCAGGCACTGGACTGGGCTCAGTGCAACATGGTCTCACCCTGTTCTCTCACCTTTCCAAGGAAACAGCTCTGACCTTGTCCTCATATACAGGAGGAATATGTGATTATCAGGTAGAGAAGCAAACAGTTCCCATCTATGCTCAAATAGGCAGGACTGAAGGCTTATTTAATAAGCCTAGTTCTCTGAGAGAGTATCTGCTTTTGAAAAAATGCAGTTTCCCATAAATTCTCAAATTACAAAGGAGTGTGTTGACATATCTGAGTGGTACAAATCCAGTCCCCAAAAGACGGAAAGGTTTTCTGCCTGTAACTGAGGCAGCTAGGCCGGCCTTGGGGTTGTCTGGGAGTCTAGGGCTTCATAGTAGAGACAGGGCCTAGGGAGAAGATGAGATGGGTGAAGTTTGTTTCTCTTTTCCTGCTCTTTCTGTACCTTGCTGGCATTTCTTTCACTTTCCCTTTTCTCATGCCTTCTTTCATGAAAAGATTAAAAAAAACCAAAAACCAAACCATTAAATATATGTAAAAGTCTCTTAAAACTAAAGCAAATGGCTTTGTGGGATACCTCCTCCTCAGCGTTTGACTTCTTAGCAAGAGGCCAGATCCTGAGTTTGATTAAGACAAAGAATTTAGACTCAAATTGTAGACATTCAGGTGCAACACAGCCAATGGGGAGAAATTTACAAGGTGGAGGGATACCAATGAGCATTTGGGAGCTGTTAAACTCCCTTACCAAAGCCAACCTGTGACGGGTGACCAAACTTGGCCTGGGAAGATGTTTCCTTGTATTTTCCAAGTCTTATCTTCCAGAAAGAAACCCAGGTCACCAGGATAAGCTGACCAGAGCTTCTGGTGAGGGGCTGCCGTTTTAAGAGACACAGCTGGACTCTGAACATAGTGGATGTGACGGTAGTTAGTGGGATTGCTCTGTGCCTTTTTTCTAACCTTTGCACCCTCTCTCTCTCTCTCTCTCTCAAATCTCTTCTTTTTTTCCCCTTCCTTTTCTCTCCTTCCTGGTGACTTCTTCTTTGCAGTGAACCCAGCCTTGCCTCAGAGCAGATTCCCACGGCAGAGGATGCTGTTCCCAACAGGCCAACTGCCCCAGGCGAGGCCTCCGTGGAAAAACAGTTTCCAGTCAGCACTGCAGTGGGGGACCCATCAGGCAGCGAATCTTCAGGGCCTGAGTCTGCAGTCCCATCTACTCAGCCTGTCCTGCTGCTGCCTCCAACCCCCTCCCCCAAGTCTACCTCCACCCGTACTGCAGCTGGTCCCCCAAAGGCATCGCCGGCCATAGAAAAGCTGCCGTATGTGCCCCACAGCCCATTTCACCTCTTCTCCTATGACTTTGAGGATTCTCCCTTATCCACAAAAGCAAAGGAAACAGAGGCTCAGAAGGAATACAGGTAGATCTGGCCTGTGTGGAGGTCGTGTTTGGAGTTAACAGTGTTTGCTGTGCCCTTTTTTCTGTTCTCTGCCATGTTTGTGTGGCTTTTAGAGCAGAGAGCAGTCCTGGCTTAAACTAATCTGGCTACTGATTTAAAAACATGCAGAAGGAAATTATCACCCGTTTGAGTTAAGGAACTCTTGTTATAAGGCAATTAACAAACAATGGATTGTTTTTAAAAAGTAACTTCTTCAGTAATGGGATCTTTTGGGGTTGGTCATCTTTGACCTGCAGAACACAGCAGGATGCTTTGCCTTCTTTCCATGTAACATTCTGAGTGGGGTTTTCTCTTCTTGAACAGTTCCTCAGATTCCGTCCATTTGAACACATACTCTTCCTCTGAGCCTTACAACTTCCAGTCTTTCTCTTCTAATAGGTGGGTGTCTTTTCTTTATTTTCTTTCTGTTTTTCTGTAGCTTTCTGTTTTATATTCTGGTGCTTGCATTTTCCTTTTTGAAAATTGCTCATTGCTTTCCATGGGATGACAATTCCATTTGAATCACTCTGTGGGAATTACTATAATCATATTAATCTGTAAACGCTGGAGGAGGTTGCACACTGGTTAAAGAATTCTCTTGCTAACCAAAAGTTGAGGGGTTCAAACTCACCATGCACTCCAAAGGGATAAAGAGAAGGCAGTCTGCCTTTATGAAGACCTCCAGCCTTGGAAGCTATGGGCTGTCCTACTCCGCCCTCACTAATAAGGGTTACTTACGAGCTTGCTTGGCTCCACAATCAACACTCTTGGTCCCAGCAGCCAGGAAATCTAAAGATGAATTGCATTGGAAAAATCTGCTATCAGGGACTTCTCCACAGTACTGAAGAATAAGATCAGTCTAGAGACCAAGATGTGCCTGATTCAGGCCATAGTCTTTGCAGTTACTTGCAATGCATCAGAGAGCTGGACGATGGCTAAGAATGATAGAATAAGAATGATTGCCTTTGAGTTGTGGTACTGGAGAACTGTACTGAATATACGCTGGACTGCTAGGAGAACAAACAGGTTTGTCCTGGAAAGGGTGAAACCAGGCTGCTCCTTCAAAGTAAGTGTTCTGGAGCTTTGTCTGACATACTCTGGGCATGTTGCAAGGAGGGACCAGTCCTTGGAGAGGGATATCATGCTTGGAAGTGTAGCGGGACAGAGCAAGAGAGGAAGAACCTGGGTGAGATGGATTGACTCAGTGACTGGGGTCATGGGGGATAGCTGTGTCAGAGACAATGAAATTGGCTCAGGATAGATCAGGGTTCAGAGCTGTTGAACATAGGGTTGCTCTGAGTTGCAAGTGACTTGACGGAACATAACAACAACATGAGTTGGAAACCTTATAGATCATTCTGTTCTGCCCTACAGGGTTACTTATGAGTTGGAATCCACTTGATGGTTTCATTTTTATTTGGTATGAACAGTTAGTAATTCTTTAACAGACATATTTATTCCTTGAGAAACAAACCCAGGATACAGAGACAGTTATTGTTGTTGTCATGGGTCGTCAAGTTGACTGACTCCAAATGGCACCATGAACAACAGTTCTAAATCCTGCCTATCTGGTACCATTCTCACAATTTCCAACATACGCAAGACTGTGGTTACAGTTACTGTGTCAGTCTATCCTGTTGAGGGTCTTCCATTCTTTCTCTGACTGTCCATGATGCCTTTTTCCAAGGACTGACCCCTCCTGAGAAAATACTCAAAGTATGTGAGATCCATTTCCCCATCCTTGCCTCTAAGAAGCACCCTGGTTGTACTTCCTGAGACAACTTGTTTGTTCTTTTCAGGTCCATGCAATATTCAGCACCCTTTTTCCAACACCATAATTCAAAGGCTTCAGTTAAGAAGGAGATATAAAAATCAGAACTCAGGGCATTTTTTGCAGTCACTGGACTGCATGAGGCTGTCTGTTCTCCGTCCTGTGTGAATGAGGGACCTCTCTGATAGAATGGAGATAGGCACAGAGCAACTGCATATATTTGGAAGATGCACTTGTTCACAATTGATGGTTAGAATTTCCAACAGCAGTACTAGCTAATGCTCATTTCTTTCGAGCATTTAGGATGTACCAAATTCAACACTTCCATGAAATGAACACATGTAAATATTAGTTGGAAGTGGATTTGCTTCTCAACATCAAGAAATTGAAAATCCTTACCACTGGACAAGTAGATAATGCCAGAATCAATGGAGGAAAGATTGAAGTTGTGAGCAATTTAATTTTACTTAAGTCCACAATCAATATCCATGGCAATAGCCGCAGTCAAGAAATCAAAAGACATGTTGCATTGAGAAAACCTGCTGTAACTGACTTCTCCAAAGTGTTAGAGAGCAATGGTGTCAGTTTGAAGACTAAGGTGTGTCTGATGCAAGCCAGGATATTTTCAGTTGCTTCCTATACATACAAAAGTTGAAAATTGATTTAACAGGATAATGGTCCATGGGAATGAGAGCCCTTGGTTCATACATTTAACCTAAACTAATTTACTTAGAAATGGAGGAAAAAACTACCACATGCTTGTGAATGAAAACTGAATTGATTTAACTGAAAGAAAAAGAAAACCCTTCTGATTTTTATGTCATTTTTCTAGCAGGAATTTGAGTACTGTACAAATATTATCTGTACCTATTAAATTTTCTGCTGTTCACTTGCTGTGGTTTTCGTGGGTCTGCGTAGCCACAGATTTAATTATTCAGTGGTTGATTGCAATTGAAAATATTTATAATACAGCCCAACCAGTTAGTCACTAGAATGAACCAAAAAAAAAAAAAGAGAGAGAGAAGGAAAACAACTGGACAGTAAATTGTATGATCTAGTTAGTTTGACTGAAATTGAGAATGAAAATTGGATGGACTTTAAGATATTTGAACTAATTGCTTAGCCATAAGGAAAACCAAAAGAGGGAAGAACACATTATGCTTGTTTTACTTCTGTAATATCATTTAAACATAATTTGAGCAAAGTAATCCTGTTAAAACCTCCTGCAGGATGTCCACTGTGGGTCAGAAGAGGACTGCTGTAGACACTTGACTAGGATAACAAGCTGAGAGATGGGGCTTGGGTGGAGCAGGACAGAGAGGGCGACAAGGGGCCCTGGCTGGCAGAAGCCTCTGGAAACTCTCAGCGGCAGCCTCCTTTCCCTCTGCATTATAGCCCTTGCTCCTCTGTTCCTCTCCCTCTTCTTTGCTTCTTATCCTTTTTCTCTTCCTTCTGTATTTACTTTTTCATGTATTCCTCTGGAGGCCTCATGGTAGGGTGTTATGCTGACATCCCAAAGGTGTGCATTTGGAATCCACCAGCTGCTCTGTGGGAGAAAGATGAGCAGTCTCCTCCCATGTGATTAACTGCCTCTGAAAACCTGCTGGAGGGTCTGCTCTCTGTCAGTTCTGACTCAACGTTACAGAGCAACACCACCAGCAGCTCACTCTTTGCTTCTCTAGGTCCTCTGTAGTCTATCCTTTGAGGATCTGCTTGAGAAGTCAGGCCAGTGCTCACTTTGAGGGAAAAGTAATCCATCTGCTCAACATGTGGAGTGTTGAGTTTTTTTAAGAGGAGAGAAAAGAAATGTCTAGAAACCACGTCCCATCAAGGTAGTATTTTAGTAGGGAAGGGTTTGCTGAGTCTCCATCTGCTTGACATCTGTCTGGTACTGTGCAAATGGATGCCATCAGATAGATACAACACCACCAAGTAAACAATAATTAAGGAGAGTCGTAGCCAAGCAACCAGACTAAGCAATGCAGGATAGGTTTGGTGGTTGTTGTTATGTGCCGTCGAGTTGCTTGCAACTCATAGCAACCCTATGTACAACAGCTCTGAACCCTGCTCTATCCTGTGCCAACCTTATTGTCTCTGAAACACCTACCCCCATTACTCAAGTCACTGAATCTATCCAATTCATTGAGAATCTTCCTCTCTTGCACTATCCCTTCACTTTCCCAAGCATGATGTCCCTCTCCAAAGACTGGACCCTCCTTGCAATATGCCCAAAGTATGTTACATGAAGCTTCAGAATCTGTGCCTCCAAAGAGCAGCCTGGTATAATCTTCTCCATTACAAACCTGTTTATTCTCCTGGCAGTCCATGGTCTATTCAATACTCTTCTCTAGCACCACAGCTCAAAGACATCAATTCTCTTTCTATCATCCCTAGTCTTTGTCCACCTTTCTGAAACATAGAAAGTAATTGCAAAGATGGCCTGGATCAGGTGCACCTTAGTCTATAGATAGATTTGAGGTAATAGAAATATTTTATTATCTGTATTATAATCATGTAATTTATTATGGAGAATTGAACTTCACTTTTAAAAAGGATGGGGTTTTCTATATCTATCTCCTACTACATACAGTTTCTGACTTCTGGAAATATTTTTAATGGAGTTATGTTCAAATTATGTGGGTGGCATTATATTGTTCATATAATTGTTTCATTCAGTTTGATGTGCAAAATTTCTATATTGTCACTTTCAGAATTAGTAGTCAGCTCTCTGATAGTCAAATAGTATTCTACTGAGTGATACATAGTTTTTCTTAGCTGTTCTTTATTTTTTTTTTTTTAGCTGTTCTTATAGTATAACTTGGTTGGATAGCTTCTAGTTTTTCACCATGATTTAAATGATGATTCATTTAGATTCAGCCTCCAATGAGGTGGATTGACAGAATGACTACAGCAGTGGGTTCATGTGCATCAGAGATGATGAGGATGGCACAGGATAGGACAGCTGTCAGGTTTATTCACAGAGTCACTATGAGTGGTACTGTACTCAACAGCACCTAACAACAACAACAGTCATTTAGATTCACCCAAATTATTTTACTGTGTTCAAAGATATTCCCATTTTGAAGACAAATCACCTTCCAGAAATTAACTAACTTTTAGCCCCATTATTGAAAGATATTCAGACTGGATTCATTGTGTACCAGAAAATATTTGCACACAAATATCATAGTACTCTATATGGGACCCTTGAGCTCCCATATACCCACTACCATTTAGTTCAGGGGAACAGTGTTGGCCAAAAAAGTAAACCTTTATCTTGTTATTCATAACCAATCCTGAGAATGACCCTAGGCTAAGGCTGCAAACTATTTGTGTACCAAGAATGAGATTAATTATGAGAACTAAATAGAAACTGTTAAGGAGTCTGAAAAATGGTGAGTGTGAGGGTAAACGACTATAGAATTTTAGAAATTTTGAAACTTGTTAATTCAAATGTGAAGGCTAAAAGGTCATTGAAATGTGTTACTGTCAAGGATCTTTTGACACAGAGAAACTCCATAGGATAGGGTGAAACTTTCCAGCATGTTTCCAGATATATTCTTTATGGAAGCCAACTATCACTTCTTTCATCTGTAGAGTGACTGATGAGTTTGAACTGCTGACCTTTTGCTCAACAGTCGAGAGCTTACCCACTGTACCACTAGGATTCTTTCATTAAAATTTAATGATTGTAATGTTGGCTCATTAGAAATGTTGGATGAAAACAGGAGTGCATGAACCAACCCAGAAGGCCCTGGAGACATTTCTCATTGATCACAGAGCACAGAATTCAAATGAATTCCAAAACACTTACTAAAGCTGTATTTCAAAAAACAAAAAGATGATTATTTTTTAAAAGCTGTTTCCATGTCTGCAGACTTTTTATGGAATTATCACTGATTGTGGCACCAGGAGAGGAAAGGAGAAGCTTCATGGTTGAAATGAAAATGATTTGGATTCTTAACTCATGTTAGCAAATCACTTTAACATACATTTAAAAAGACAGGAAATCAGAGGGCTTGTTTAAACCTTTTGTCATAAATCCACCTGTCTAATAGTTTGAGACATTGGAAAATTCTCCTGCTAAGAAATTATCAAAACAAAACAGAAAGTCTCTTTGAAGGGAATAATGCCAAAGTGTTAGCATTTCCAGACTTGTTTTTTCTTGCAACAATTAAGATGCTTTGCTAAACCTTATTCATTTATTATCTTGTATCCGTGTCTTTGTCTACTTCTTGCAACTAAAACTCCTACTCTCTTTAGATACAGCAACTTTGGCAACAGCTCGTACCACCCCTCAAAGTCTTCCTCAGGACCCAGTGTGCCCATCACTCCCACGTCATCTCTTTCACCCCCACAGGAGCCCCGGCTAGAAAGGTAGGTTTACAAGAAGCAAGCTGCCATCTTCACTGTCCTTGGGAAATGGAAATCACTTTGATTAAGATTTGTTAAAAGAAAAGTATAAATATAAGAGATAATCTATTTTCATTTAATGGCAAAAGATATTTTCTCTTTTTTCCATACCACTTACTAAATGGATCTTTTATTGAAGGTTGTATTTTATTTTTATTATTTCCTCCTCCTACGTAACTTTGTAGATGTTATAAAAATCTATTCTCATATAGTTAAACATGTATGTTTTGATTCACCCCTTGCAGCAGTTCTAGAATTTTTTAATCAGCTGTGTAATTTGTATTATGCACTTAAATTTTCACCTTTGTATGATTAAATCTATGTAAATCAGGAGGTTGTGGACCCATTAAGGTCTTGTGCAATTAGTCTAGGACTTAACCAAGATAGAGAAGAATTGTATGGATACGTGGAAGGAATTTAACTTGGCAAGAGTATTAGACCACCAGAAAAGAGCTAATTATTACTCCTTAAAGTATTTGATTGCTTAAGGATGTTTTACAAGGGAACAGTAAGACCTGTAATTTGAGAACAATTAAAAACAGTTACCCCTGTATGGCGTGAGTGCTGAGCTAGAGGAGGTTAGAGTTAAGATTCCAGCTCTCTTAGAAGAAATTTCATCCCTGAGGGTTGAATGTCATGTATACCAACCTCTACCTGAGAAGATTGTTTTGATGTGATACACATTATTGTGCTGTATGAAACCCACTGTGGATCCAGTAGAAGGCAGGGGCATAGACTGTGATCTCCCTCGTGTGGCTCCACTGGGAAGCAGTTTACTCCACCGCGTGGACCTGAAGGCAGTGGCAGTGTTGAGCATGATGGGATAGAACTCCCAGCAGCTCCTGATTCACCATAAATCCAAACAGAAGACAATGACTAGAAATTACCAATTTAAAATGAATGTGACTGGCATTTCTTGTTGGATTCTGTCTAATATTTGTCTATCTGTCACTAAGTGTCATTTGGGCAACACCCAACTACATATATATCTGAAGCCTTGTAAAAGTTACAGTCAAGTTCAGAGGTCCTGATGGGAGAATGGGACATAGCTAAGCATGGAGTTTCATCCTGTCTCTCACTAGCTCTTGGGAGGTCCTATGTGTGCCTAGCCACGTGGCAGGTGCCTAGCTGTCCGTTTCTGCCTAGCCAAGAGGTACGAGGAGGAGGAGGAGGAATCCCAGGGCCCATCCAAGATTGCCTGCCTCACAGCCCCTCTTGGAGAAGGCACTGCAAAGACTGCTGGATCCACTAGAAGGAATGTCCTGCTAAAGCTGTTGGCCCACTCAGCCCAGGTACCCAATACATGGCAAGACAGAGGTCAAGGTTTCCTCTGAAGGTGGCAGCAGCAGGACTGTGGCAGTGGTAGGGATAAAAGAAAGAAATACAACCAGGGAGGAAATAGAGATAGAGGTGGAGGATAGATAAGGATTGAAAGCCCATTTAGGGGGCGTGGTGAAGGTTGACAGAAAGATGGAAGAGAGGTGAATTGGCTGTGTCAGGCCTGGAGGTGACTAGCTGGTCAGGGAGTATAGCATACAATGAGTGAGTCAGACTTGGTGGTGACCAGGACAACTCGAGGCTGAAGTTTTTACACAGTCTCTCAGCACAGGCTGTAGATCCTGGTGCTGCCCACTTACTGTCTGTCATGCTTCTCTTCTGTGTATGATTCGGTGTTTACAAAGTGCCCAAATCACATAACATCCTGTGTCACAGAACATATATATATCATGGGCATTCAGTGATGCCTTTTTGTAGGCTAGAGTACATTTTGCTGAGAGCTGCCTGAGACTGGAGGTTTGCTGGGATGCAGAGAAAGCAAGATCTTTTAGCTCCAGGATGAAGGGTTTGCCTGGCCACCTGTCACATTTAATTTCTAAGGAGATAGGTAAACATTTCAGCGTAAGGTTCAAGTTCCACAGCCCTGAGGAGCTCTGGACTGAATGCCTGGGACCTCAGGAAGGTCGTATTAATGAGGTAACTGTTAGTGACTCTGAATCTAAGATACCTCCTTTTGAGAGTAGCCACAGGGTTAACTGTGGAACGAAACAGGTTACCATAGAGATAATCCTTGTCATATGGGATGTGGGATGTGGAGCCACCATTAGCAGTGTTAGACTATTAATGATACTATGGGTATATCTCTTGCCCAAAATGGATGTCAGAAGAAACTCTGAAGATTGCACTGGAGCGTAGAGAAGCCAAAGCACAAGGAAGAATTCAAGATACTAAA